CCAGTTTTCGAGAATTTCACTGAACTTCCTTTCGAGGGAGGCACGAATATTACTCCGGTTTTTGCAGAATCGCAAGTCCGCCGAGAAAGGACTTGAAGGTTTTACGAACAGCTGAAGTCAAAGAACTCGGCAGGTGCAGGCTCCGTGGAAGACGTTAAGAACCCACCACGGCTGCTAGCTGCCCACAATCACAATTTTAAGAAGTAGATGTCGTGTTTGCGAGCTGGTTACTAAGCTCGTACTTCTGTTAGCCTTAAAATAACAGGCAGGGGTCGTCGGAGAGTTGTCCCACTTGTTTTAGCTGAAATCCTGAAAACGCGGCCGGACAAGCCAGTCTGAGGGAATTCCTAGTGATTCCAGCGAAAGCAGTGATGCCTACGTTTGGTAGCTTCAAGGCCTCTGCCAGTACTTCTGGAATTATATTCCACCGAAATTTACAGAATTTCTTCGAGAACGGACACGAAAACTCCATCAAGAAGTCTCTTCGGTCACTGACAAACCCGCCTGTCTTCTTTCAGTGGGAGTTTATGGTGCGAAAACCCCGTCCCCAAGAGGTAGTTAATGCCTAAGAGGGCCGTTGAACTCGTCAGCTTCCAGAAAGTAGTACGTGCGAAACCTTGGTATATTGCTGGTCTAGCGTCTGTATGATTAGTAGTTTGCCCACCAAATGCTCGCCTGGCACGGAATGCAAATTACAGAATTCCACGGCGTCCATAGCCGATTAAGTGTCTAGTTAAATTTGAGACAACTTTCGGGATAAAGTCATGTAAATGGGGGAAATCCAACAAAGTGTAGGCTGCCACACCACCTACCTCCAGGGTTCCACCAGCGTTGGTCGAGTGTCTGCAGTCTTTGGTCTTCCGACACAGTTAAACCCAAGTCTCGTAGGTGCTGGACGTTAGGTTTTAGTTCCAATACCCTCTCGAACACGCGCAAACAGATCAGGTCCCGATTAGCTATAGATAGGTTAGGCATCTGCCGTCCATCATCGCTGGACCGCGGTACAAACTTAGTTGCGGTGTTAGACGGGTCATCATAGCCGCATGAGCGACATGGGTGCGATTCAAGTTCGAGGAGTTTGTTTACACCCTCGAGGCGCTGAGAGTATGTAAGGTATTGAATGTGCTGACGGCCTAAGAGGCAGATCTGAGGCAAGGCTGGGCTGCAAAAAAGCGGAATAGATCATACCCTCTTTGTTGACGGAATTCGCAGAATATCCAGCTCGGGTTCAAAGCCACAGATGCGAAACACATCCTCCAGGTAGTGAATGTAATGTCGGTAGCGACCACGCCAAAAGCCCCCTTCAGCAAGCAGATTAGGCTCATCTGTGGACTCGGTAGTGAAAGTCGGCAAATTCCGCCGACGGTAGTCAGTGAGCTGCTGATATACTCTATCTCTTAGCTGTTGGGCGTACTGTCCAGCGTCGAATTTCTGATATAGACTGAATGGGCAGCAAGGTACAGTGAAGACCTGGCACTGGGAATTCGACCTAGTAGCCAGAACCGGAAGCCACGGAGTAAGTTCGTCACTGTGATTGCCAATCAGAAGCGTTGCTTGAGGAAATCCGGGGTGGGTGGACGGGTCCAAAGTCTCCTCCTTAAAGAAGCAAATATTGACAACAAAAACTGCAAGTTAGCGGACTCTCAGGAGATACGCAAACACCACCGAGCGACTAAACGTAGTCAATGGAACTTATTTCATGAGTTGTGGTTAGGCTTCGGTCAAGGTTTGCCCCTGTGTGTGCGGCACTGCCGCTCCCCTCCTCAGGAGCGTTACACGCGTAGCAGATGAAACTATTATGCCCATACAATATTTGCGGAATAAAACAGTGAAGTCTTCCTCTATTATCAACTCGTCAGAAAACGGGCGGTGCAAGGTCTACGTTCCCTTGTCCAGAAGACTAATGTTCTATCGAAATTAGGACGGGGTAACTCCAATGACTTTAACTTCGGGTCTACTTTAGGCATGCAACGCCGAGTGGCGATTGTTGCACTAAACCCAAAATGCATATGAAAGATGCTAGTATGCACCGTCAGTAGTGGCGGCAACTTGGATTCGGGCGGTCTGACTTGCCACCTTTCCTGAGAAAGAATACTAGGCAACGCCATGCATACGATGTGCTGGAATACAAAACCGCTATCTGGAGATAAGTCAAGCTGAATGCTTACTAATGCAAAGGAGCTGCACCCAAACGACTGACGTAAAATTCGCCCAGACTACGTACTCGGGGAAGCATTCCCTTCCATTAATTATTTATGATGAGTAGGACTTGTGTCGCATCTACCTCACTCTCTGCCAGTCTGACTGGAGATGGGAATGGGTCCAGTGACCACCTTTGCTAAATCCACGTTTACGCGTTTCAAACTACACGAGCCAGATGCCGGCGACTGGGATCTCACATTGGCGAGGATAGTGAAGATTGGATCGGTGTGAGGAAGGCTACATCAGGGTCGGCCTGACTCTTCCTTCCTCATCCTGTGCCGGCGTCAACCACGGGTCAGGGCATCCAAAGATAATATGGGTAGCATTGGGTGATTCAGATCAAATAATTTGCATAACACAAGCTTCACAAAGGCTGGGGTTTTGCAAAACAGCAGACTCTTTCTGTGACCTCTGTTTGCCAGGGTGCGATTAGAAAAACCAACTAGGTTCATAGTTGGTTTTGAAAATGGGATGGCGATAGGTCACTTACTCTAAGAGCAGCTGCTATCTTTGCGGGATATTGCCTCCACATACCTCTTCTTTTGATATCGACGCCTATTCCATGGAACTAGAAATGATTTAGAATAAATGACGACTCCTACGCCCTCTGATATCAGTAGGTAGACCAACAGGCCGTTACCGCAGCCAATATCAACAAAGTAGACGTCCTCCTTTTTTAAGCTGCTCCATATGCACTAAGAGGAGATGGTAATTCTGGTTCAAAACGTACTATAAGGTATGCGGCAATTCCAAAATCTTCATGGATGAATTTTTCAGGATCAGTTTTCTCACACCATGACTAGAAAAAGAACACTCAGAGTGATGAATGGCCTAACCGCTCTCAAATCTTCCCAATAGCACGTCTTTAATCTTACGTACACCTTTTGGTAGTTCTCATAGTTGACGAGGTTTAGTGACGGGGGTGAGTGATCCAGAGATAAACTAGCCCAATGGCACAATCTAGCCTGGAGACACTCATGAAACCACTGAGGTGAAAAAATCTCCAGACTCTTTACGTCCACACATGTTACTTTTGGAAATCCATCCACTAAAAACAATTTGTTAGAAATACGATCACCGTGTACCGATAACAACAGAGTAGGATGCGTGCTTTGAGGTGAAGTGATATCCTCGGCTATCTAGAAAACATCAATTCGAATGGCAACACTATCTTACCGAAACGAATTTCTTCGGTGAAGACGTCAATTCCAGTAAACAGTTTCGGGTAGACAATACGGATGGTGAAGTCACCAGAGGACATCAAAAGGCGAGCACCGAAGAGTTTTCTATTCAAGACGTGAGGTTTCTCCAACCAAACTGCGACTGCTGCAGCAAGTTGCGGGTACCTGTCGCACAGGTGCGCATATGAAGACATTTGAGAGAGCACTGGAGGACGCTGAGACATTGCTGGAGTACCTATGTAAAGACCACAGAAAACATGGAAAAGGGAAACGGCGAAGGGGCCTTGTAAATCATCCTTTATGACAAAAATCATGTACAAAGACTCATGTGATGGAGAGGTGACTGGGAGAGCTACGCTTGAGGTGGGACACCGGTCTTCGTGATAATCAGGAAGGTGGTCCAGACATCTTTGGGTTGGAGCGACCAGAAGAGGTTAACGATCTCCAACGTGGTATGAGCGTCAGGCCTGCGACTAAGTTGACAAATAGATCGCAGTGTACGCCATTCGACATTCCGACTATTCCACACGTTTTAATAAGGTTCACTTTGTGTCATTATCATTGTGGGCTGAATGCTTAAGACTTCTGGCGCGCTTTATCTGGGACAGGCATCACAACGAGAGAACTAGCCTTGCTTCACAGATCGGAAACCATTTTCAGGCGCTGACACCGAAGGACATACACTATGACAACGCCAGACAATAATTTCAGAATTACGGCCGAAGAAGTTGTGCGCGGTAAATCTAAGCCTTGTTCGGTCAGACTGTTGAAATGTTCATAAATAATCAAGTTTCTTGTGTCTTAGCAGCAGCCAACCTATAGTGTTTTGACGGTTACAGACGAACAGGAATTTAATCAAATTTAAGTAGCAGACACGGTTTGCGGAACTCTCTAGTGGTCGGATGCCATAACAGACATTTCTGGGTTGATATCTGACTGATATGAAATTGCGATACCTGCACTGCGATACATCATCTGTTGGTCTAAGTGCCCACTCGATCCAGATGTTAGCAGAGTATGTGGTCTCGAGTTTTTCTCAGAATGTAACGCCACCAATAAACGGGATGCAGTCTGAATTATGGTTTGGGAAGAAACCATTTCTGCGCGTCGCATTAGCCTAAGCGAGTGTTTTTCTTGCTTATGGACACGAGGGTTGCTCCTAGGGCCACTGACCCACGGCAGGCCCAGTCATGGAGCATGGTCCATGACTCTGACCATTTTAAAACCCCGTTGAGCCCTGAGTCTTCGGAAAATCAGTTGCGCAGGGCATCCTAGCGAGGTATGGTTTCATGTCGTTAAGAAGGGTGGCGTTCGCCACCTCGTTGTGCCCCTATGGCTCATGGCTTTTTTATACATGATAGACCCACCTGACCAAGGTCCAGCCAGGCGTTGTCACTGAATGGTCCATGACCACCATCAGAGCCTGAATGCTTCTGAGTGCTGATAGACTACAGACAACCCCAACTTCTCGATCTTCCTGTCACCCCGGTGTTTGAAAGTAACGCATCTATGATTACCGGACAGTTATCTACATTACAAGTCTTGATGAGATCTATAAAAACGGATTCACACGAGCCTCTTGCACAGGATTTCCGCCGTAGTGAGTGAGCTTGCGAGACACGACCGCCCTTAACATAATCATGTCGACTAGTTTTATGAGACTACGTTGGTTAGGGCAAAAGTGGAAGGAATGACGGGATATTGCGCACATGTGCCTTTACCAATGAGATGCATCGGACGATATTTGGTAGCCAGCCATATGGCAAGAGCCCTCCATAGTTACTGGATCGCAAAGGGGTGAGCACTATCTTTTACTTGCGTTGAGGCTCATCCCGCATAGAGCACCATAGGAATGTATCGCACTGCCTACGTCGTTCAGATTCGTCAAGGGAACGGGTTCTGGATCTCCAAGCAGCCCAAGTCCGCATAATTCCAAATAATAGGGTGTCCTCAAGCAAGGACATGTGAGGGTAGCAAACAGCCGCCTTCGCAATTCGAACAGGTAAATGGGATTAGACTCGATCTTTGCCAACTGTAGCTGTGATTGGCCGATCGACTTCTTTGCAGTACCCAGCCGTATCTGAGGTATGGTACGCTCAGTTACTTTAAAATCCTCCGAAAATCCAATTATGCCTTCCGCAAAGCCTTCTAAAGAACGCTGGAAATCCATCCCGCCGGACATACTAAGTCAGACAGAATAATGGTGGCAATAGTAACGATGTGTTTAACAAGTTGAGGGACGAGTAAAGTAAGAATGACAAAGGATAGAATAGAAGAATGTAACATAACAAGTGATCGAAGCACAAGTGTGACAGAAAACTAATACGCTATGCCTCGCAACAAGTACCCTCCTCGGGGAAGGGCTCGTCGTTTAGCAGTAGACTGTGTGTTTGGGAACGTAGAGTCGGAGACTGCTTCGTGGGAAGGGTCACTAGGCCACTCATTCAAACACAGGAGCCATGAAGCTTACCGGCCCATTTTCGTGTGGTAAGCATACCCGACAAATAAAACGAGACCGAGGTCCGGATCATGCTCCTCTGCTAGGGCTCGCGGGATTCTACGTTCCGATCGCAAGCGGGGAGCAACTGTCCCGCGAGTTCGGACGTGTTGGTAAATGGACAAAGCCCTGAATGTTGGGCGTCGAAAGACAAATCACTTTATGATTTCTGTTAGATGGTCACAGTCTACAAAGCTGCCTACCAGGTACGCAATCCGAATCCTCAGAGTAGCGAGTGCACAGACATTCGCGACTGAATTATTATGTTCGTTAAGTGGCCTACTCCTCCATTCCGCCAGACTGAGACCAGGGGGTGTTAGGTTCGCCCAAACTGTATCGTTCACCGCGGAATTGACAAGTAGTAAATGGTAACTAACTAATGGCTCGAGACAATCCTTGCGCAGACAAGGGCACGCACTGCTCACTGTCAAGAGATGCGGCTACAACTGGACAGCATCAAAGACCTTAACAGCATGTCGATATCGACGCGGTATACTTGTATGGTCGCTTTTCGCGAGATGCGCTCACTCCGGTCTTATTGGCCGGTCGGCGTTTTGCAATATCCTGTTGATATCGAGATGCTGTAATATCCGGATTGCCTGTCGGTTTAGCTTCGTCTGGAGTGGTGTCCTTTGGGGGTGATTGGCGCTGGTCGTCAATGGAGGCGACTGTAGACATTCGTTTCTCAGCTTCCTTGGGAGGAGATTGTGCACACTCAGACACACAGACTTCAACAGATAATATTAAAAAGAATCTTCAACAACGGAACGTTTATTAAATAGGGATCTGTGGAAGATATGGATCATGGGTTATTCGGTCCCAA